TCCTCAGGCCACCCTGAGCCACCCTCTGTGTGCCCACCTCCCGGATCAGCGCCGTCGCCGGTCACTGGTAGCCGCCCCTCCGGCCGTCACGGTCCCCCGCCCTCCTCCCTCCTGGCCTCTGCTCTCACAGTTCCCTCTGCCAGGTGCAGTCTCCCCACCTGTCCCAGGACCTTGTCTGGGAACAGTGACAATCACACGGGCTGCAGGGTCTGGGGTGCTGACTCCGCGGGCCTCCTGCGCCCCATTTCGCAGATAGGAGACAGAGGCAAGGCTTCGGCCCGCGGGGTCATGCATGGCACCCCAAGGTCTGTAGGCTGGACTGCACTGTGGTCGGGGACCCCGCACGGCCCAGGCAGCCCTCACACCCTGCGTGGCCCCCAGCTCGCACGCCCCCTTCCTCCCTGCCTCCCAGCTGCCACGTCTGCCCTTCCTGTCTGCCCCTCACCCCTTCCTGCCGGGGCGAGAGCAGCCGCCCTCTGAGGACAGGGGTCCCTGTCCTGCCGCACTGCTGAGACCGTGGAGGTGGACAAGGGTCTGCAGGGCTGCCCAGGTGGACGGTGCGCCCCGGGGGGCACAGAGCACCACCTGCACCACTGTCCCTGGCAGCCCTGGCCACGCCCACTTGCAGCCTGGCCAGCCTCATCGCTCTCCACACTCCGCTGCCTCAGGTGTGAATGACTGACAGGAAGGCTCAGAGGCTTAGCAAGGATGTGGGGGCCGAGTTCAGGGCCCCTCTATGGCCCAGGCAGCATTCTTGGGATGCCTGCGCCCCGCTCAGCAGCCAAGGCACTTGCTATGCAAACACTCAGGGCCTCACGCACAATAGTTCCCACCGGCCTGGCCGGCCAGCCAGACCCCGCCCCCACCTCCTCCCCACCCCCATTGTCTTGCCCTCTGGGGGGCACAGCGTGGGGGGCGGCTGGGAGGGGGACCCCCGGCCCAGTCCCTTTCTCCAGGGCAGGAAGGGGCTGCTGGGGGGCTGGGAATGCTGGGAGAGGATGAATGGCCATGCAAATGAGATGTAGATGAGCCCGGGCCAGGACTCCCCAGAAAGCGGGACTGGAGAGCCGCCCTCCCCCACTCCACCCCCCAAGCGCAGGGGGAGCGGCTGACCCGCCCCTCGCCCCGCCCCGCCCCGGCCTTTGAGTGGCGAGGGCGGCTGAGCGGCCTCCCTCCAGCCTTGGCCTTGCCGTTCTCTGCCCTCTGGGCTGGGACCCCAGCCTGGCAGGGGCCCCGCCTCTGGGTCTGACTCCCTAGAGTGTGGCCCTTGTCACAAAGGATTGTCATCCCACGCACGCCGCCCCGCAGGCGTCTGCGACGTCTGATTTGAGGGGCAGGGCCTCGGGCAGGCCGTGTCTGGTGAATGGTCAGACCCTGGTCACCACCCCCACCTGCTCCCGCACACCAGAGCCCTGACCTGGACCGGACCGGACCGGCGACAGCTGGCCTGGCGTTGGCGGCCCCCAGCCCCTCGTCCCTCCCCACTTCCGATGGCGCTTGTGCTGAGTGGGAATAGACTCACGCATTCACGGCTCAGCCGGGACGCAGTGCGTGATGAAAGCTCCCCGCTGCCCCCCCGGGTCCCGCGGGTCCCACCCCAGACGAGGCCTCTCCACATCTGTTCTCCCACACGACCCAGACCAGCGTGCCCGGCTCTGGGCCCGGCTCTGGCTTGATGCCTGGTGGAAACGGCCCCGGACAGACGTGGGGGCCTCTGCCTCGCCCCCGCCGGACGGCGTTGGTCCTGGCCGGCAGAGGGGTCCGAGTGGGTAAGGGGCCTTCCTGGGGGGGCGGGGGGTCAAAGGGCGCGCTGCTGTTTCTGAGACATGTCGCCCAAAGGCCCTCCGCGGAGCACGGGCGCCGAGGTCCTAGGCGTGAGTCCCCGCGTGGGGCCCTCAGTGCGGTTTTCATCTGCGTTTGGTCACCGAGCGCGAGGCCGGGCACCTTTTCACGTGTTCGAGAGCCGTTCGCCTTTCCCGCCATGTGAACTCCGCGCCTCCTTTGCTTTTTCCCCGCCCCCTCCCGGATGCCTCGCCTGCCTTATTGATTTGCGGGAGCTCTTTACATATGAGAGAAACGAGCCCTTTGTCTGTGTGATAGCGGCTGCAGCTGTTCCCCCCACATTGCCAAACAGGAGGCTGTGACTTTGCTTCAGGTGGTTTTCACTCCGCAGAAACTTTATTTTATGCTTTTGAGTTTGTCAAAAACAATTGTTTTAATGAAAACAGATTTTAATTATGGTTGACATACAATATTATATTAGTTTCAGGTGTACAATGCAGTGATTAGACACTTGTCGAAAGATGTCGCGTGCGCGTCTGGTTTTCGCGTTCTCTGTCACGCGTGCGGAGGGCTCGTGTCAAGTTAGGGGCGTTTCTTCTGTGCCTTTTTTCTAGCCTTCATGGTTTTCCTTTGTTACCTCGAAATCTCTGACCCGTATGGAATTTATTCTGCTATGAGGTGTGCGATGCAGACTTTATTCTTTCCAAGCTACCTGGCTGCCCAGGTGTGGGTGGGTCTTTGGATGATCCATCTTCTCTTAGTGGTTTGAAATTCCGTCTCCGTCACATGTGGAAGTCCGTACATATTAGAATCTGCTCGCAGGCTCGGTTCTGTTCCATAAATCGACCTGCCTCTTGCACCAGTATCATACGATTTTAATTGTTTTTGCGGCTTTATAAAGTTTCTGTATCAAGTAGGGCTGGTCCCCGCTTGTCACTGCGTCAGAGGCTGCAGGAGCCCACGCCCACTCCCAGGCCCCTCTCCCTTCCTCCTTCGCTGCCCGCTTTTACCCGAGGCAGGAAAGCACTAAGAAACCGCCTTCCCTGGCTCCGTTGCCTCGGGACTGGGTTCTGGCCAGTGAGAGGGCAGCAGAAGTGGGGTCCGGCCCCTCCGAGGACTTTCCTGTAAAGGATGTGTGAGTGCTCCTCCTTCCTTTCTCCTTCTGGCTGCCTGGAATGTGGAGGTGATGGCTGGACCCCCAGCAGCCATACTGGGCCACCGGGCCCACTTGGAAAGGGAGCCGCACATCAGGAGGGTGGAGCAGAGGAATGGAGAGGTTCTGAGTCCTGAACACCACGGAGCCACCGCAGCCCTGTGCGGCCCACCTCACCCAGGGCTTCTCCTACGGGAGAGAGAACCAAACACTCACCGTGTGAGCCTGAGTGCCTGCGTCTGTCACACGCGGCAAAACCTGATCCTCGCCGAAACATACTTGTTCTTTTTCAGGATTTTCTTGGCAGTTCTTTGTGAGCTTTAGAATTAGTTTGTTTCGTTTAAAAATAAGGCCCGTTAAAAAGTGAAATGTCATCGTATTTGTGGATTTAATAAGGAGAATTGATGTCTTTGTGACATTAAGTCTTTATATTAAAAAAGTTAGGCCTTTTCATTGGTTTAAATCTTTTTTGTCTCTCAACCGCCCTTCGGAGGCTTTCTTAATGTGGCTTTGGCATATTTCTTACTGATTTCCAAATATCTTGTCATCGTCCTGGCAATCACGCACAGGTCTTTCGTGAATGTTTGCTTCCAGGAAGAGCGCTGAGCTTTCTGTGTTGAGTTCGCTCCCAGCCATCTTAAGGAATTCTTCAATTGCTTGAAACCTTTCCGTTTTCGGGTGTTTAATAAAATTGTCCGCAAAAAGTGCTGATTTTCTCTCGACTTCACTGGCCGCTCCTCCGGAATAATGTCAGATATTGGTGGACGCCGCTGTCCTGTCACTGACTTTCACAGATGGGCTTTTAGAATTTTCACATGCAGTTGGTTTGGCTTTAAGAGAGATGTGTTACCAAGTTAAGGACGTATTCAGTCATATTTTCTCGTGAGCTCTTAAAATCAAGAATTTTGTTGATTTGGGCAAATGCCTTTTGGGCATCAGTGGAGAAAAATATTTGCTTTTTCTTTTTCCTTTGGAGCTATTCAGAGGTGAAGTAGGGTAACCCTACGAATCAGGGCGCAGAAAGGGCAGATGGTGTACTCAAATGAGGTAATTCGAGGAGATTCAGTAAAGGGACTATTTACAAAGGTGTGGGCAGGGATTAGGAACGAGTCAGGGAATAGTGCAGCCCCAGGGCCATATGTGCCCGGCCTGAGGGGGCGGGCCGGTGAGCGTGGGAACCTGCAGAGCTGCCCTGTAGGCTGCAGGAGGGAGGCCGGGAGCCCAGACCCAGCCCGGCCTGGACCGGGGATGGGGGGTCCGAGTCCCCCCTCCCAGGGCCCATGGGGGTGGATAGGGAACCCTGACCTTTCCCGGGACTGCTGGGCACGACCAGCTGACGCTTCCTGGGACCCTTGCGTTGGTTTTCAAACGTGAAACTTGCCTGCAGCTCTGTCTATTTTCGTTGAGTTTGGTATTAATATCGGGCTGTTTTCATAACGTTGGAAGCTTTTCGTTTTTCTTTTTCTCCCCAGGGGGCCGAAGCAGCTTAAGCAGCTTTGGTGGGCGGCACGTGGTGATTCTTCCCACCGGTGCCGGTGCCGAGGCGGCCGGCGGGGAGGAGCGTGGGTGACTCGCTTCTCCGCTCGCCGGCGGGCCCAGATTTTCCATATCTTTTGTCGTACGCTTTGGTTAAAATTGTCCACTCCATCCAGGTTTCTCAAATCCACTTGCACGTAATCGAGCGAAGGGGAGCGAGGGATGCCTCTGCATGTGCTCGGTCCCCACATCTCGCTGTCCCTTGGGGGCACCTGCAGCCCGCGCACTTCCTAACACCCAGCGCGTGTGCCGGGCCTGCCGGAGGACGTCGCCCCCGCGCGTCCCGCACAAAGCCCCGTGACCGCGAACAGCGTCACTGCTCCAGAAAGATCTGAGAGGTGTTTGGTTCAGCCCCCCAGGCGGCGCGGATGGGGAAACCGAGGCACAGAGTGACAGGGACCTGACGGCACTCAGGGAGACGGGGGAGGGGCAGAGCGTAGCCGCCATGGGCACCGGCATTTGCTGAGCGCCCACCGGGTGCCAGGCACATGCACCGGGTGCCAGGGGGCTGGGCTTGGGCTGTCTGAGGAGCAGCCGGGGGCGCGTCTGTGGCCCCAGGCCCCGCAGGCCCCGCTCCCCGCACGGCCCCGCACTCACGCCACTCCAAACCCACCTGGTTGCTGTGCGCTGGCTGCTCCCTTTGACAAAACGCCGGTCCCTGACTGGCTGTGTCCTCACTGCCTTCACGGGTGACCCTGCCGAAGCCACGCTGTCTGCCCCTCCCATCGGGCTGCTTTATTCTGCACACAAGCCTCACCCCAAGCACCCCATTTTACCCGCGCCCTGTCTGCCCCGCCAGGCCCCAGGCGGGCTGAGACGTTTGTCCCTTTTCCCTCTCTCACTGCTGTGTCCCCAGTGCCCAGGCCGTGGGTCGGCGCTTTCTTTGTAGGGCTTCGCGGGCTGGGTGAACTCGCAACGCAGGGTGAGATTAAACACAGATACTGAGCGAGGCCGAAGGGGGCTGGCGCCATCGCCGGCTGGTCCCTGAGGCTGCAGGACCCGTAAAAATGTCCACGGCCTTCCAGAAGACAGGTGGACCCCCCCGACCCACAGAGGGCGCTTAAGAAAACGATCCCACAAACCGAGAGGAACCCACGTGGGAGCGAAGGCCTACACTGTGCCCCTCAGGACAGCAGGTGACAAGCAGCCACCCCGGAGAGTGAGGGGCTCAGGTGAGGAGGGGGAGTCTGCGAGGCGGGCGCTTCTCCCTAGCACGGCAGGCTCATGGGGCCCCAGCACCCTCCTGCTCCCGGCCCCTAGAATCCTTGAGGGGCCCCACCCAGGCCAGGCTCTGTCCCCCACCCCACCCCGGGGCGGCTGATCCTCTCGGAGACGCCACCAGAAAGTTCTCTGAAAAGCCACAGCGCACACCGAGCCCCCTCCGTGGCCAGCCACCTTCGCGCTGTGGCCCGGCCCCACGGGACCCTTTCCCTCTTGGGGGGCAGGGCCGTGTGGTGATTTCACGGTAAGTAAAAACGACTCTAAACGACTTGGCAGATGTTCTAAATTACAGAAGTCATAACTCTTGGTTAAAGGCGGTAGCACTGGGGTGTGTCGTGTCATGTGGGGGTTCGAGCAAGTCCCCCTCCTCCCCGGTCCCCCTGGCAAAGGCTCAGGAAGTTTGTCCCCTCTCTCTTCCTGCCTAAAGTGACTCCGGTAGAAAACCTGCCTGGGAAAGGGACCTCGGCAGCCACCTCAGCACAGGGCGCACGTGAGTGAAGCTGCAGATGGCAGCTCCCCGCAAAAGCCTGTCGGCTTGGGCCCCCTGTGTCACACAGTTTCCGGGTGGCCCTGGAGAATGTGCTTACCAGGCCTTGTCCTTTCTCATCTACCTGTGACCAGCCCACCTCCCCGTCTTTTCCCAAATACACGCACACCTTGGATGGCCTCCCTGTCTTTGAACTTCCATGTTTATGTGAATTCCCCGTGTGCAAGTATTAAAATTCAGTTTTCTCCTGTTAACCTGCTGCGTGTCACTTGAATTATTTGACCAACCACAGGGACTAAAGGAGTGAGGCCCCCACCCAGAGACTCCCTGTCAACTCCGTGATGACGCCCCCAGACGGGGCTACTTATAAATAACCCAGCCGGGGTATTTTTGCTAGAGAAACGACCTCCAAACACAGCCAAGTGGGAAGCAAGGTCCCTCAGGCTGGGGGCTCAGCAGGAGGCGTCCAGTGACAGTCATTCCCAATGAAGTTATTTTTATGCCCAAAAATGCTTGTGGGAAAGTCAGAGACGGTGGGAGGGCAGGAAAGACCCTAATCCCAGACGAGAAGGGACCCTTTGCTCCAGTGAGGCCCCAGCCCCCTCCCCGGGCCTGGGGAGAGACATGAGAAGGGAGACAGATGAGGGACAGGCTGGCTTGCCCGAGGCCTGGCTGAGCGCCAGAGGGGCTTGCGGGGGTGGGGGGGTTCCTGTATGGCACAGAGTCTGGTCCTTCTAGGGCCTGGCTCCAACTAGGGGCTAATTATAGCCGCGGCGCTGGCTGCGGGCCCTGCCCCCGCCTGGGTGCTGAGATGGGCCTGCTCGCCGGGTCTGCCGTTGGCCTTGCCCCGTCCCAGCCCCGCCGAGCCCCAGCACAGGGCTGTCTATGGCCTGGCAGCCTCCGAGGAGTCTGGGGTGGGGGCAGGGGGTCTGCGCAGAAAAGCCCTCGCCCAGGCTCCCGCTGGGAGCCCCCTCCCCTCCCTGTCGAAGGCCCAGGGGGCCTGGCCTGGCCTACCGGTCCCCCAGTCTTCTGTTTAGCCTGGGCAGCCCCTGGACACTTGGAGGGGGGAGAGCTTCCTGTGGGGACACTCAGGGGTCTTGGGCCGGTCCCACGTGTGTCCCCGCTTCCTTCTGTCCCTCGCTCCCT